AGCTTCGCAGGGCACCTATGTGATAGTAAATCTGTATCAGTTATTAACAGGTAGTCCGTTAAGCACGTGATAACTCATAATTTAAAATTAACAATTGGTTTCGACATTAGGATTTGAAATCAGGTTGCTCGAGTATACTGAATTAAAAAAAAACATTCCAGATCGCCTGCTGCTGATGTTATATTGGTTTGTCAAAGGTATTGGAAAATACTTAATAATATAAAAGCAGACCGCAGTTTCTGTCGTACCACCTCTGGGTTGAGCTAAATTAAGGAACCAAGGGGAGCTGGTGGCTTTTTACCTTCGTGACAAGTCAAAATTTAATAAATGTATTATGTTGGTTTTAATTATATTAAGCTTTTAAAAATAAGCAAATTATTAGACAAAAATTAGGAAAGCTCAGAAACGCTTTGTCTGATCTCTCATGTTACTACTGTGAGCAGCAACGAATCTTTATTTCGGTACATTTTAACAATAAATTTCGACTTAGTAGCTTCAGGATTTCACTAAATTTAAAAGTAACGCTCCACAGACTAGACTACTAATACGCTGTTAAAATAAATTTACTTACTTCATAGGCTGGATCTATTGATGATTCAAAGGCAGCGTTATACGTAGATTTTTAGCACTTTTTAATTTTTGGAATTCTTTATTCGCACTTTTGTTACATTTCCTTTGTTTTGAACATTTTGAACTAAAAGGGATAGATAGAGAAAATTCGCCTTTCACCGTTTTTAAATTTTATTTAATTATTAACTTCGAAAACCAAATGGTGTGTCACTCGCGTTGGATAGCACAACTTTAAAATCACAAAACCATGTCCTAGCCTTTGACCTAGTTCAGTACTGATTATAAATTGTTCTATTACATGTTCATTTATTTCTTAAAATCTGACAGTGGTAGGCCCACGCAACAGTATTTACTGTCGCGCTAATGTGCAGATCTGACCTGGAAAGTACCGCGACCTCAGAGAAGACCGGCTTAAGTGGAAGTTGGATACTTATGAGTTTCGGTCTGGTGAGTGAGGCAACCGGGGCCCACTTTTTTAAACGGTGGCAACGCATCTGTAACCCTACGGGTGTTGCGTTGCAATATATATAATATCCGCCGTAATTGCAATATATATAATATGGATATGTAATGATGACTCCGTGGCGCAGTTGCCAAGGTATTGGCTTCGACGTCAGGTGTCGTAGGTTCAATTCCCACACGGGGCAACTATTTGTGTTACCCACAGTTTCGCATCTGGGTGTTTGTCCGCGTGAAATTTATGTTTAAAACGTCCCTAAAGTAAGGGCTATGTTTTTACCAAAACCAAAAAAATATATATATATCCTCGTCCATGGGTGGCGGACATCACTTATCATCAATCCGCGATCTCAATTCCACCTTCTCACATAAAAAAATTTAAACACGACAGAGCCGTGTTGGAAGTATCAAAATTTGAATTCAGAATATTCCCGATTATTCAAAAATTTGTATGTGTTAATGTCTTATAAAAAATCGTTAACATAACAAAAACATAAACATTCTCCCAAATAACATAGCGCGCTACAGGTTAATATCTATAATATTTATTAGAAATTTTTAAATCTTATAATTATCTATCTTCTTATATCTATTTTTCAAGAGCATTTTTAATTTTATATTATACGTTTATAAGAATACGTCTTATTAAATAGTAAATTATAACTATGTAATATAGATGTATAGTTTAAAGTATAATTAACATTTTACATCTTTAACTAAATAAAAAAAAGATATTTCATTTTGAGTTTCATATTATTTATGACTTCATTGTGTTAATTTCATATCGCCTACTAACTTCAAATGTTTAAGTATAATAATTGTAAATTGATAATGTTGATGGTGTATATTTCTTGATGAGTATATAATAACAACAAATAAATGCATAGTTCATATTTATTTATTAGTTTTGTAAATAGCATACTCACGGTTATTTATGTAATACTGCTACTTACCTATATAATATGAAAATATTCTAATAAGTATTCCAACTACAGGTATGTTCAATTTAATATAAAAAAAAACTTTTTTCCCATATTTTTTCGTTCCTGTCCACCGATTTAACTATCTCATTTTTATATACGGGTATATTCGGGTAGTGTGTCATGAAGAATATAAATATCGCATTATTGTACAGATGTTTAGTAATTCTTCAGTATAAAACTGTATCAATGAACCGCAAACATACATCACCATCAAAAAACAGGTTCTTAAGAATGCGGAGGTCGTCGAAACCGCGCGGGATGACTGAATCGCCTCGATTCCGCAAACCAATTCTCTCCGACACTGCGAAGAGAGCTCACGATTTGAAATTTTAATGACTCAATCTCGCTTCTCTAAAAACGTGTTTTTCACTTAACTGGAACTGTATCATATTGAATTATAGAAATCGGGCGGCATCGGAGGCAGCTGAAGTAAATGGCGCAAATATGAGTCTTTATGTTTAGATTATGTATTTGTGCCATTTGCTGTTGAAACATTAGGTCCGTGGGGTCCCCGCACATCAAAATTTTTTAAAAGTTTATGTCCTAGGCTTAACGCCGCGGCTGGTGACAAGAGAGCTGGTTCTTTCCTCGCTCAAAGGTAAAGCGTAACTATTAAGCGAATAAATGCAGCTAGCGTTCTTGGCACCATGCCGCGTGGTTATTAGATAATATGTAATTTAGGTAGATTTAATCTTGTAAATATTAGATCAATAAAGATTGTAAAATTAAAAAAAAAATTATAGAAATATTGCGGGCTGAACTGCAGAGTAGCTTGAAATGGATTTGGATACTGAAAGAAACTATTTTTAAATTTAAATGGGACACTGTAAAATCTTTCTTTATAATTAAAAAAAAACTGTTTATATTTTTTTTAAAGACAACCTCCGCGTTAAACTAGTCAGGTTCTCGCTTTTATGTCTCAATATACTCGAGTAACCTGAGTTCGATCCCGGGCACCAACGACATTGTTAATTTTAAGTGCTGACTTACCACGTGCTCGCAAAGGAAAACATCGTATGGATACCTGCATATTTTCGAAATAATAACAAAAAAATATTTCAAATATATTTGAAGTTCCCTAATTCGCATTGGGGTCATATGACCTAATACCCTCTGTACAGAAGAAGGCAGCAGTGTTACCCAGCACTGGGACATATATAGGCTGTTACTTATAGCGCTAAATTTGTCGCTGTCTCGCAAGAGATTCACAGACATGAAATCACAAATACAAATGACATCCAGTTTAGGACCAACAATTTTTGGATCACACACATTTCTGATCCGAGTAGGAATCCAATTCGCACGGCGCGGGATTGTGTTCGGCGGAGTGGGCACTTTAATTGGTTCAATGAAAGTCTGCAAGATTTTTCCAAAGAAATTGATACTTAACACGGTATTTACATTTAACAGTAAGTTTATATGATATTGTGCGAACAGTTCTTATGGAAACCTTTAAAATCAATATGAGTCACTTAATCGGTACAGAGAAAAGAATATGTTAACATTATTATATACTGTTAATATATTACAGTTTCTTTACTGTATCGTGTCTTTTACTGTATATTTTTTCACACTGCACCAACCGCTGATATGGAATAAAAACTTTCTGAGAGTTTACCCAAAAAAAATGTAGTCGTCATTCGCTACAAATTAAAGGTACGTTATCTGAATTTAACTATTGCAGATCAAATTGTTATAGTAACGTTTATAATTGTTTCCTGATAAGAAAGTAATCTACTAATTTGAAGTCGTGTTTGTAACCAGATGTGGTCAATTAATAAATATAGCTTCGTAATTAAAAAAAACTGTTACCCTTGAAAAATATATCAAAACTGTCTATGCGGCAATGGATCTTTTTAAGAAAAAGCGCATATAAAACTTTGGTTAAAAGTAGAATACTTATATCGAAGGATAAGTAACATTATTGACTGAACAATAAACTTATTATACAATTACATAATAAAAAAATATTTGTACCTACATGAAAGAAAGTCTGTAAATAACAAGTTTATGTCTAAAATTCTCCGAATATAACGTTAGCAACTTATCATATTACGAACGTTCGATAAACGTCGGTACGAATATCTGAATAAAACATGATTCCTGTATCAAAAGTGGATTTATTACACGTGTGTCCATTTGTATTCAATATTTTTAACGTACGTTGTTAGGAGATAATGAATAATTCACGCACTACATACCTTTATAATTTTTAAACGATCAACTCTGTTACATTATTGTAGTTAAACGATTTTATGCTTCTGTAATTACATTCCTATAAAACACGAGATATGAAAAAATCTTAAAATCTATCTAATCAAAAATTATAAACTGACTTACTATGGATCTTTACTATGATAGAGATATGTGGCTTAACGGATGGTATTTTCCCGTACAGTGGTGTAAAAAAATACTTTAATCCAGGCTTTATACTTAATTGACACTGGCCAGAGTAAAATACCTAAGAATAATACAGTGAAATAAAATAACAGAAGATAATGATAAATTATTATTTGTATTTGGAGTAAATTTGTCACCAGTTCACAAGAGCTGTGAACTTTAATTGTAAACTCAATTAATATAATTGTAAAATCACTACAAATGTCGTGCAGTTATGTCGATAGTAGTATTTTACAAACGGTCTTCAGAGTTTGTATTTGTGGATATTAATAATAATTAAATATAAAAATATAAATAACAGTCATTGTCATGATGTTAACGAAAACGCTACATAAATATTTTGTAGCTGAACTATAAATTATTTTATCAGAATCTTTCGCATAAATGCAGATATCGTATTCGCGGATACTTCCATTAGTACGAACTCCATATCTTTTGCAGGTGTTACCAGTGTGAAATATTCATATAACTATCTAACAGTGTCACAGTGAAGCAGTTATTTTAAAAGCGGATAACTTGGTGTCTAGTAAACAACGAAGCAGTTTAAGGAACCAATCGAGTTATGTTGTGAGTGTTGAAAGCTTCAAAATGGGACGGAGAAATATGAGCATGATGCGGCTGGGAAGGTGCGCTGCGTTCTTGGCTGCCGCAGCCTTCCTCCTGCCGTTCACCATTCTCCTGATGGTGTTCGACCAGCAATACAATTTCACCTACAACTCGAAGCGGGTGTTCTACCAGGAGGTGAGTCCGTAAACATTCCCCTTGTAAGAATAATCTGACACATAAAAATATGTAGATACTTGTTAATATGTTATTAGAATCGGGATCAAAAATATTTTTGTGGCTCTTACTTTTCTCGAAAATATATACTATTAAAGCATATTCATAATTTTGTTCGATTACCAATTACTGCATTAATTCTAAATTAGTGTCACAATTTTGGAAAATAATAGGATGGTTTAGCTTTTTCTACTAAAAATTGTAAAATTATTCGATTACGTTGTAGTTGACTTTTGAACTTATTCGTCAGAAACTCAGAACATATATAATTACAGTCACGCCCGATAAATATATTCAAATATTTACGTATATATCACACCAAATATCATTTCTCGCCCGCCCATCATTTTTTAAATAGCTAATAATTTTCAAAATCAAATATTAGTTTTCTCATTTAGGAAAATGTGCCTTCACAATAACTCTTTAAGAATTATAAACGTGACTCGGAGCGTTCTCTCTCACGGCGCGGCGGGAAAGTTCTGTTTCTAGTATATCGACAGCTCGGATTCACAGGGTCCATATTCTAACATCGTTCTACATATACATTTCACAATTTCTTCTTTTACAGAGTGACTTCTATAAAATTAACGGAACCCTATACGCGCCCGCATTCACGTTAACCACACCCACTAGTGTTCGGACACAGGTAAACTATGTGATAATTAATGTCGAACGACACCTAACTGCACCCGTGCTTCCTAACACGTACTAACAAAGGTCTAAAGACGACTTTGCACGGAGTCCATGTTTTTTTGTTTCAGGCTAACCGATACAGTCTTGCTTTCGATGTGCGTATTAATACGGCTTTCAATTGGTTTGAATTGTTGTTCTGCCAAATAACACAGTAATTTGCACCGTTTCTTGCCGAAGGCTCTTTGAGCTTTTTGATACGCTTTTTTTTGTTGTACTGAGAGTTGATTAGTAAATAACCAAAGTATGATCCGAAAGTGGCATAATTATGGATTGCCTTAATTAAAAAGTCATTTTTGTAGCAGACGTATCTTGTGATACAGTCGTTACAAGACATTATTAGAAAAAAAAAATGTTTGCACTTTTTCTTCTTGTATAATATACTTTTACTAATTAAATTAAAATAATATATTTTTATAATTAGAGTAAAATTGACAATAAAAATTTTTCTAAGCTTTATTAAATTTATTTATGATCAATTGAAGGATAGAATATGTGTACAAAGTTACAGAAAGTGATAAATGCATGTAGTACGTGATAGTTAAACTAATATCTTGATTGTTAAACAAATAATTTGTAATAACTTTAATTTTTTCAAAGAAAAAGAAATCCCCAACCTTTTCAAATACCTATGCACAAGAGAGATCTGTAATCGTTAAATTCAGATAACGTAGCTTTTTGTGTTAGATTTTGAGGCGGATTTTTCATTCGTGATGCCGATCTCTTCCGATATCTCTTTACGGCAAAATTTTCATCGCATCGACCATCCATAAACATAAAGAACGCATATTGTTTCATCAAAATATTCGAATCAGTAATAAACCGCCTACAATCCTACGCCACGCACTTTCTATTAACTAACACGTAACAGATACTAAATTTCATAACATCTTTCCTTATGTGTAAATTTCCATTTTTTGTACGGACAGATTGTGATGTCCCCGTGTTTAGTAAGATGTTTATATTGTTACCAGATTTTTTACTTCTTCCACATTATTTTACTTCTCCATGTGAACTCACCGGGGAAATTGGGTTTTAAATGAATAACGAAGCTTTCTCCGATATTCGTACGGTGTAAAGGGAACGTGATGGCACGCGAATGTTCGTGTTAATAAAACATTAATAAATTTCACAGTAAATAGTGTAATTTTAATCTAGAGTGGGTTAAATATTTTACCATAAACACCTACATTGCTAGTGATGCGTACATTGCTCGTTATCATAATTAAAACAAATTATAACCTATTTTAGTATTTACTACGCGCGATATTAGGGACAATAGTATTTTAGAGAGACCTAAATATAAATATCTGTAACACTTAACTAATAAAAATATGGATGAACGAAAAAGACGAATCGCAACTTCGACAGTCGATTACTGTTCAAATTCAAACACTAATTGTAGTATGCAAATGGCGCATGGTGAAGCATAAATCCCATATGCCGCTTTCAAAACTACGAAATTTGTATGCAGGCCTCTACCTTAGGTCGGCGACGTAACGGTCCTTGGGTTAGAAACAAAATGGGAACAATACCCTGGGAGAAACCGTACAGTGGCTGTTCAAATCTCGCGGTAAAAAAATATGATCTCGAATGAATGCATTAAAAGCCATAAAGCTATTTCAGAAGCGCCTTAAGGTACGTTTCACACGTCCGATTAGATGACGCGCAAAAAGCGGAGTAGTCCACTTTGCGATTATTATAGGTACCTATGATTTTTTAATAAGTTACTTTGCCTAGAGATAGATCATTATTTTTAAAGTGTTTTTTTACGGTCTATTGCATTGTACTTATCATTCTCCCATGTCTTCTGACTACATGTGTAAGCACCCAAGTGTAATAAATAATAGTGTAAAAAAGTCACTAATTTGATTATTATCTATTATTAGATACATAAAAATTTTGGTAAAGTACAAGAGCCGGCTGTCTCTGTTTCCTAATTCTTCTGCCCTTATCCCACCTAGGTTCGGTCACAACATGTGAATCATGTTTCATGTGTGCGTGTTTGGCTAGGTGTTTTACTACCGGGAGTCCGCTTGACGTCAACCCTCCTTAGGAATAAAAACTTTGATTCTTCTGCCATTATCCCACCTTTTGTGGGGTCGGCACAAAATCTGAATCATGTTGTGAGAAGGCGGCGTGATTGAAATGATAAGTCACTCTAGAAATATATCAATTGTTCGGCTCCAGGCTCTTTCAAATGCACTTTAATATATTGTAAACATGTTATTTGTCAATAAATGTTAAAAAAGAAAAAAAAATGTCCAGCTGAGTTTCTTTTTTTGAGTTGCTGCTACCGGTTTGGAAAAAAAGTTAGCAGAGTAATGTTTCTATATTGAATAATTTGACTTTCGAATATAAATGTTTACCCATCGACATTTGCAAGACTCGTAGGATTGCAAATGCGTTGCTACCTTTTATGCCCGGTTCCTATATACAAGGAACGGCCGTTAGTTACATAATTTCGAAATTTTCATAACGACACGTTGTAACACCTTCATAATGACAATGTAACTAAAGGCCGTTCATTGAATATAGGAACTGGGATTTAATAAAGTGCGCCCAGGTTACGAAACTCAGCAGAAGTATACTATTAGTATACTACAGTATTTTTCGTTCGTATCAAGTTCAATGGCTTCCTGTTACAGAAACAACTTCAATCAACTGGAACATTCCAATCGTAGAAACAAGGCAAATTACTATGGAAGTTCGTTCAAAATCTAAACCGCAAACAATCCGTAGCTTTCTAGAGAAATGCGTGAACCCAGTCAAGAAATTTGGAGAACTAGGTCACGTAACGTTCAACTCCGGGGTTAACTTATTACAAAATGGATTAATATCGAACTATTGAACTTCAGTGTTTCATTGCAGGGCTTGCATGAAAAGCCATGATCAAACATAAACGTTCTCCCATCTCGAATACCGTTGTATCATGTGAATCGTTACATACGGCATGTCCGTGCGGTATGTGACATAACATGAGCAAAGCTAGGCCGTACGGTATAATAAATTGCCGTTTAATGTTAATAAACATTACCTTAAAAAGCATTTCCATTACCAACTTTTTACAGCAGACATTCCAACATTCATATTCATGTGCTCAGTGTCATATGCATCGTTGTTTTCTTAAATATGAATAACCATAGTTAATTTAAACTAAATCTCGTTTACAACCTTAAATACAAGGAGGATTTAATTTACTATTTTATTTATCGGGTTGCTAAACTTAATTCAATAGCTTACATGTTTTACTAGACCAGAAACTGGATCTTATCTAGGGAAAAATACACAATAAAAGACTTTTTCCCCATAAACAATATGCAACAAAATTGAAATATTGGTAAATCGTATTTTCGAAGACCGTGAGATCTTTTTGCCGCCAATTTTTTACGACGCGAGAAACGGCGGTCGCGCCAGGCCGCTGGGTCGTGTGACTCGACAAAAACGGTCGACCGGAGCGTAAGTCCATGCCGTTGGCTCGCCTCATTGCAGGGCACCGATGAGTAACGGCTCGCCTTGACACTGCGACGCGATTCCTTCCGCGCTATCGGTTCGCAATCGCTCTGCCGTAACTATCGCCCGCAGTTATTCAAAGCTGCTTTTTTATGCTTATGCAACCGTTATTGTTGTCTTGACAGCATTGACGGCGATGTGCAACTTTTTCAGTAGCGACGTATGTAATGCTTTTCGTGATTAATTACCATCTATATCATACTATGGTTGACATCAACAAACATCGGGAAATGTTATACATATACAAATGCTGATTTGTATGCAATATAGATGTATAATTTATCGTATACAATTGATACTCAACTGAAGTTTTCATTCACGAGAAGAAACAGCGAAAATAAAATCGTGGTTGGCCACTTAAATATATAGAATGTGTCAACTTGCCAGTGGGTTACGCTTGCGTTCTTGCTTAGATACGGATAATTAACGGGATAGCACAACACACTTCGAAGCAACAACGTAGTAATGGAGATCGATTGTGATTGAAAATGAATGAATGAAAAAAAAGATGGATTAGAAAAGGGGTAGACAAACATTTGTAAAGATTTAAATAAAAGTAATATAGGCTATTTTTATCATTTTACATTACCATCAAAACTGTTCTATCTAAATATAACTTTCCATGAAATTTGTTGCTAATGTTTGTAACTCTACGCTCAAAAACCTCCTCGTAACATAGCGTTACTTAATCATAATATTAATACAAAATATTGTTACGTGTTAGGGGTTCGAAGGATTTGGAGAGAAAGACCTGCTGACTCTTTTGAAGACTTTATTCAATAGCACTAGGTCCAACACAAAGCACTAGGTCCAAACACTAAGCACTAACGGTGTCCTGTTTTGTAGCCAAGTCGTAGGTTTCACTGGTATCGCTCTTGATCACTAGTTTTCGCTCCGAAGTCGCCTCGAAGGTAGCTCAAACTGAACTGTCATCGCTTGCCTCCCTGCGGCTTTTTATATGGGCCGAGACCGGTTCCGGACTAATCCAGAAAGATCATTCCTGGAACGTACCCGACACGCACGAACATGTTCGTGATTCCGGAAAGTTCGCGAATGTACCCAGTTTTCGAGACAGCAGTTCCTCTAACGCCATCTAGTGTTGAATAGGGGGTTTTATGTCGTCTTTGTTCTTTAGTGGTTTTGATAGTTGACGCTAGATGGCGTTAGTTCCTTTGTGTGTTCATAACAATATTAATGAAATATTTATTAGCGTAAACATACCTACGCGATATTAAAATCTTCAACAATTCTTCATACAAAAATAATTATAAAAATGAAAATGACTCCAGTACCTACATCTTCATTATTAGTCTACTAGCTGCTGCTCGCGACTACGTTTGCGTAAAATAGGCTGAAGGTGTTACATTCAGACAGAAAGACAACATTGCCATTACTTCAGGATAATATTATCCTGTGTTGTAATGACGTTTTACAAACATAAAT